GCTGCGCCACTGATGGGGAGCCGTCTGAGGTAAGCACCACCCGGCTGGAGCCCGCACCCCTCACCCCCTCAAACACCCCAACCCCCTACCCCAGTCCGGAGCTCCCTCCTGCACCCAAACTCCCTTCCAGAGCCCACACCCCCTCCTGCACCCCTACCCCAGCCTGGAGTCTCCTCCTGCACCCAAACTCCCTCCCAGACCCCGCACTCCTTCCTGCACTCAAACTCCCTCCCAGAGTCCACACCTCTCACCCCTTCCCGTATGCCAATCCCCAACCCTGAACCCCCTCATGGAGCCCACACCCCAACCCCTTGCCCCAACCCTGAGCCCTCTCCAGCACCCAAACTCCTTCCCAGAGCTTGCACCCCACCCCCGTGCCTAAGGCTCAGCCGGAGCCCCGTCCCACACTCTGAAACCCTCAGCCCCAGCCCAGAGCCCGCACCCCAACCCTCTGCCCCAGCCCGGTGAAAGTGAGTGAGGGTGCGGGAGAGCGAGCGACAGATGGAGGGGGGGATGGAATGAGCGAGGCAGGGCTTCGGAGAAGGGGCAGGGCCTTGGGGCAGGGGGCGGGGTAAGGGTGTTTAGGTTTGTGTGATTAGACAGTTGGCAACCCTACCTGGTATCGGTGTTGACTAGTAGGTTTAGTCGTCTGGTTAATAAATGCATGCAAAAATATTTCCAGACTGCTCTGTTCAAAACTTACTTAAAAATATCCTTTTAACTGTAAACCAGGATTATGACTAAAACTTTATCTCTCATTCTTGTAGCCTTTCCTCCCCACATGTTTGTACTTGGGAACTAGGCTTTTTTATGCCATTACAGCTCTTAAAATGCTAGCAGCAGCATGGATTATTGCTTAGGGCCTCGAACGGGGCTATATCTTATACTGCAATCAGAGGTGTGACTGCAGCACGTGTAGACACATTGCTACCTCAGATAACAATAGCAATGAAGCAGCAGGGGCTGTACAAGCCCATCCAGGTCCCTCGATATGTATGTACTCAAGCAGCTTGCCTGGGCTGCCATGGCTTCACTGCTATTGTTATTTGAGTTCGCTAGATCAAGACGGAGTTCTGTTCCCTGCTTGAAAACTGACTTGTGTGACCTTTGGCAAATCACTTCACCGCTGTGACTCTCTTTTTCCCGCCACCCTTTCTCTGTCTGGCCTATTTAAATTGTAGATTCTTTGGGACAGGGACTGTTTGCTATTATGTGCTTGTACCGTGCCTAGCACAATGGGTTTCTAATCTCAGTTGTGGCCTCCGGGCACTGCTGAAATGACACTACTATGATTTTGATCTTATTGAAATCAATGGGAGGTTAGCCCATTTGTAGCCCCCCCCCTTTCTTTTCCTCTGCATGATCGTCGTAGAAGTCTCGCAAACCTCTGCTCATTACTACCACCACCTGTCAAGCATTTTTAGCCGCTTTGGATGAAGAACATATACATCCAACTGGATTGAGCAAAATTAATGTTTTCCAGTTGGCTTGAAAACCTGGGAGAGCTGAGGTGGAGGTGCGTGGGGGCCTCCCACAAACCCAGGTGCTTTAATAATAGGACGGAGCTGGCTGCCAAACATACAGGCTCCCCTCTAGAGGGAGATTTAGCTTCATGTGCACAAGGAGGAAGGCCAGCAGTTGCCAAGCGCGCACAGCCTGGGAAACAAGGAGATTTGAGGAGTATAAAAAGTCCTGCACACTTAATTGGTAAGAGGCTGCCGAAAATAAGCTGGGCCTCTCACATCAAATATATGATAGCCTCCTATTGACCTCTTAAACCTTCCCCTCGGTCTGCTGCCATGCTAGCTGGCGGCGGAGGTATCTGTTGAAGCTGTGTTGTTGCTGTTGTGTGGGTGATTGCAAATGTGGTCACAAATGGAGCTGTTATTTCTTTAAAAAGTTTTAAGGTGGTTTATATAAAGATAAACCTCCTGAGTCTTCTGTCCATGTGTGTGTGTGTGTGTGTGTGTGTTTGTGCATGTGTAGGCGTGAATGTAGAGCTGGTCAGAGGTGCTAGAGCGGCAGACTGAAGGCCTCTGTTTATCCTCAAAACAGCTAGAGCATGAGAAGAGCCACTGCTGTCCCTCAGCTCTGAAAATAGTTTGGACCCATTCATTTTTTGGCTTCTTTACTGAAACTGCCAACAAAGGAGCCTTTTTTGTGTTTGGGTTTTTGGGGATGTGGCCCCTGGGAACTAAAGGGAGACCACCATGCTCATTTCATGTAGGCCACGTAAGGACAGTTTTCTTTTACTAGCAAGTCAGTCAGGATTTGAACGGATGACTTTGAGGTGATATATTTCACCCAGCCCTGGAGCTACGCATTCCTGCCACTCATTTGCTCTTACACTAGAATCTCTTTGGCATCATCATTGTCCACAGTGGTGACTGAATTGCAAATTGTTTAGCGGTTTGGGCAAAGTGGCCGTGGGAGGGGACTTAAAGGGGCATCACCTCAACCCCAGTCTCTAAAGCAATATGTCTGTGCAGCATACAGAGTGCCTGGGTGGGGGGGGGCTGGAGCACTGCACTTGAACTGGCTCCATGGCAACTGCTCCAATTCACATCTGGCTTAAAGCCCCTTTTGTACCCTGCTTTGTGAGCCTTGCAGAGCATTCATCAGCTGCTTGGTCTCTTTGACAAATCAAAACTGATCCCGATCTCTTTTATAAACATCCCTCTTACGTGTTTGTAGACAATTATGTTTCTTTTCAGTCTTCTTTTCCCCAGATGTAATCTACCCAGTAAAGAACAATACATTATAAATTGTAAAGAAGAAGAGAAAAGAAAAGTAAAAGCCTTTTGTGACTTTGTCTTTCACCCCAGTGTGCGTGGTGGCCTTTCAGCTTTCAACTTTTAAAATGCTCCCTTCCCAGCCATTCAGTTCCATTCATTTCTATTATTCTTTAAATTACAGCCGTGATCACTGTGAATAATTCATGTGTGTGAAGTGATTTGAACGGCCCTGGGGATTAGGAATCTTTGGCTAGTTCCAGAGCTGCTGAAGGGCAAATAGTCCCGCTTGGCAATGAGTATTTTTAACAAAAAAATGCATTTTTATTTATTTTTCCTGTTCTCTCCAAATGAGGTCAGCACAAGACACCCGGGTGCTACTTAAGCCCTCAACATAGTGTTTAAATGGGACTTAATTGGTGCCTAGGCCCCATTCAAGGCCTCTGCTCAGGGGGGTCAATATCATCCTTTAAGATTTCTCCATCACAAAGCTGGATGGCGGTGTGGGCTGGGGCGGTGTGGTCCAGAGAATCCTCACCATTAGCAAAGCATGACCTTGCCCTACTTTTCCAGATCTGTGCAGGGCAGTATGTTTGCTTTGAGTTTTTGGCATTTTATGTTACACTGGAGGTAACTGTCTTTCACCTCTGTCCATTTCCACGATTATCAGCAGAGTCATAGCCATTTACACTGGCCCAGATGGCTTGGTGCAAACTAAAACAAGATGCCTTTAATTCATATAAAAATAAGTGCAGTGTTAAAGAGGTGCTGACTCAAGGGCCACAAACTAGTTTGGATAAACGTCTGAGTTCCCTGGTGTTTCTACCAACCTTGTAGGTTCGCCTGTCTCTATGTAAGGTGTCACCCAATTAATTTAGATTTGGTGGGAATGGTTGAAATGAAGTCAGTTCAGATCGTAAATCCTGTGGGTCAGGGACTTGTCTAATACCTGACGTTTGTACAGCACCTAGCACAATGGGGCCAAACTTGGTTGGTCCTCAGGAACTACTGTAATAAACACGATTATTAATAATAATTAATGTAATTACCAACTGCACAGTGCAGGTGCAGGGTGGGGGTTGCATATAGAAATGCAAACTAAGAAGTGATTAGCTGGATAGGGAGGGAGCCCCGATCCTTTGTTACTGAGAGTGCTGCTGTGCAGTCTGCTATTCCTCCATCCTAGAAGCAGGAGGAAGGCCACATGAATTTATTTATTATTAAGTCTTCTCAGACCCACCCTTTCTTTTCCCACATCCTGCCACTATCTTTCCCCTGTGCTGTTGAGAATAAGAATGCTCAGAGGCCTTCCTTCTGTTCAGTGCTTAACTTTACTGATATCCACATGCAGGCTCTGCTTGCAACTGCACTGAAGTGTAACAGCCTTGTGCCCTGGGCAAGGATCTGCAGGATCAATGTCATAGAGAGGAATCCTGCTCTGCCACGCATGGCTGTACTGGGCAGAGGACCCACCTGTGGCAGAGGAGGGTTAGGCTCTGCTTTCAGCTGTGCATATGACTGGGAGTTCAAATATATCCTCACAAAGAAAGCGGAGCCGCTGGCACCTCTCGCTGCACCTTGCTCTTGTGGTTTTATTCCTGACCACAAATATTGTACGTTGGAGCTCACGGCAGTGGAACCTGTACGCATTATGATACATCACAGTGGTGACTGCGGAGCTTCCGTTTGGAACTCCCTGTCCTGCATTGGGGTCCCCAGGCTGCTGACAAAGTTACAGGGTTGAGATCTAAAGACTGTCTCTTTAGAATTGGCATGGACGCACCATCAATTATCTGAGCTCCAGGGAAGGGAGCATTGTGGAGCCTCTTGGAATGGCTGCCAGGAGAGGATTGGAACCGCTCAAGGGTAAATATGTTGCTACTTCATGATGGATTGGTCTGGTGAAGATGTAAGTTGCATTTATAAGGAGATTTTGCTGAAATCCTCCCCCCCCAATTCTTATGTGTTCAGCACCCATGTTGAGCCACTGGACAAGAGGAGATTTTATCATAAAATGTGTGTATTTTTGTATCTTTTACTGATGTGTGGAAGTTTATCTGTAATCACTAATTCCTCACAACTGAATCAATGTTTAAGCCATTTTAAATTTTACACATGCATGGGGCAGAAACTCAGCTTCATGGAAGTCAATGATGAAACCTCCACTGATGTCAGTAGGGCCAGGATTTGGCCCTTGGTGTTTTGAGAAATGTAACCTTAAAATCCCTTTGTGTTGCTAATTGCATTCTTTTATTCTCTTTCCTTAAGCCCCATGAAGAAAATACTCTGAAGACAATGGAGCTGTGACATTCTACGTCAACTTGCCAACTGGAACTATGGAAATTATAGAAGATTGCCAGCACGCTCATGCTGGGCTGGTGCCAAATGGATACAGGAACAAGATTTTTCAAGCCAATCCAGAGGATGGGAGCACTGAGACACTAAAGATTTGTGACCTTCAGCACTGTAACTCCAGAGGCATCAACCAAAATGCAACGGAAGAGGCAGCCAGGTATAAGAAGAAAGCCAAGGGCAACCGGATTTGGAATTTTGTTAGCCGAAGGAAAGGTCCCTCCATGAATAACAAAAGACCCCAGTCCATGATCCTGCTAGGAGATACCTCAGAGACCTTAGAAGAAAAACGCAAGATGTCCTTCATGGAGAGGGTGAGGTCCTTTAAAAAGCTAAGAACCTCCAGCATGTCTAAAAATGTGGATTTGAGACCCTCCAAAGCCAAAGTTTCTCGCATCCCTGAGGAGGACCAGGAGGACAGTGACCAAAGGGCAGTCTACAGGATTAAGAAACTAGCTGACAGTCAGAGGCCTTTCCGTCATTCGTATGCAGGGTACATCGATGATTTGGATTCTTCCTTTGAAGACGTAGAGTTAAATGTCAGCATTCCAGAAATTGATGCCAATGAAAATAAATGGCTCAGGGATATTAGTGTCAGAATACACAGTGAAGATAATGATAGTAACTGCCATAAAATGTCAGCTAGAAAGAGCAAGCTTTTGAATTTTGAAAACTCTAAGAGTTCTGCGATTACAGAAAGGGACAATCAAAAGAGGTGTCCCATGCTTCCTGAGGAGAGCAGGAGAGGAAAAAGCTCTGATGTCTGGAGCTATCTGAAGGGAATTTCATTGTCTAGCAAAGATAATTCAAAGTTGCTCAATCAAAGTGTTGAAACAAATTTCCAGAACTTAGAAAATATAACTGATAATTCTGCTTCTTATTTTGACTTTGATACGAGATGTGAGGAGAATCTTAGCCAGCCTAAAAAATCAAACAGTGAAATGAAAGCCAGTCACTTTGGTGGTGTTCTTCGGTTCTTTAACAGTGTGGCTGAGGCAGCTAGGAAGTGGCGAGGCTCTTCCCGGACATTTTCACAGGGAGAGCAAAGACCTCAGTCCAATTTCAGAAGTCAGAGACAGGAAGCCTCCTCCCACAAAGAGTCTTTGGTTATTGAGAATGAAAATGCCAGAGCTTTCTCTTCAACGGGAATGTCATTGCGGTCTCCAGATTCTGGGATTTGGGATAATCATAGTTCTGAGAGTTCAACAGGAAAAGCGCTGCCTCAGCAAAGTGTTGAAGCAGAGTTATCTCAAGAGATCAGCAGCTCTGCTCTGAACAATGAGAATGATAGTTTTAACGAACTTTCTGACCTTGGGCCAGGTCCATCCATCTCCCCACTGCCAGAACTTCCAGATGACCATTATGCTCTGTTAAGCACACAAGGCCCATCTAAGGCTCTATCACAGTTTCCAGACATGGCTGTGACTGAATTAGATGCTCGGGACCCGGGCAGCTCTCCGGCGGCGGATGCTTGGGACCCGGGCAGTTCTCCGGCGGCGGATGTTCGGGACCCGGGCAGCTCTCCGGCGGGGGATGTTCGGGACCCGGGCAGCTCTCCGGCGGCGGATGCTCGGGACCCGGGCAGCTCTCCGGCGGCGGATGCTTGGGAACTTGGAAATATTGAGTTACATTTGAAAGACAGGGCTAAGACTAAACTGGGTATTCAGGAACTGAGTAGCACTCCAAAGTATACTCAGGACACTAGGAGTACTTCAGTGGATATTCAGGACCTGGACAAGACTCAATCACATTCTCAAGATCTTTCTAAGAGTAAACTGGATACTCGGGACCCAGAGAGTGCTCTGACTGGTACTCAAGGCCTCTTTGCAGTTACTCTTTTAAAACATGTAACAGATAATGAGCAAGCTTTAGAATTGGAGGATTCTCCTATCAAAGAACATGAAATAAGTTTACCAGGAGAACAAATTTCCATGGAGAGGCCAGACAAAGCAAATCACTTTAAATATAGTAAAGTGTGCCATCAGATCCAGATGAGCCTCTGTACAATTGTCTCCTTCGGGGAACTCAACAATGGAAAGGTATGACCAATCTTCACTGTAACACTGTCGCAATAAGACACTATACAATACTCCCTCCTGGGTAGAAGGTCTGCGGACAAAACTGGTTTTGATATAGTTTATCTGGTCTTCCAATTCAATTAGACCTTCATATCATATATGGATGAAGGCAGTGGACACATCTTTTAAAGCAGACAAAAAAGGAGTCAGTAGGCTGATGGTATCTCTGAGCTACTTGTTTTAGAACTATTTGGCCACCTCACACATATCAATGTGCCTGTGGAAGGGTAGCTGTGGCAAAAACAGCCCCAGCATAGAGAGAAACTTTACAGTTATTTCCAAAAAGCATCTTTAGTTCCCCCCGACACACACACATTTAACTCATTCAAAGATTTGACTTGGTACTGCTTGACATTATGATTAAAAAATTTAAAAAAAATATAAAATTAACATGGCACACATTATATGGATTAAAAACTGGCTAACTGATAGGTCTCAAAATATAATTGTAAGTGGGAGAATTATCATTGAGCGGGTGTGTTTCCAGTGGAGTCCCAGGGATTGGGTCTTGACCCTACACTAGTTAACATTTTATCAGTGACCTGGAAGGAAACACTAGATCACTGATAAAGTTTGGAGATGACACAAAAATTGGGGGAATGCTAAATAATGAAAAGGACAGGTCACTGATTCAGAGCAATCTGGATCACTTGGAAAACTGGGTACATGCAAACAATGTGTTTTAATGCATCTAAATGTAAACACATATGTATAGGAACAAAGCATATAGGCCATACTTACAGGATAGGGAATCCCAGGAAGCAGTGACTCTGTACAAGATTTGGGTGTTATGGTGGATAATCGTCTGAACATGATCTCCCAGTGTAAAGCTGTGGCCAAAACAGCTAATGCAATCTTGGGAGGCAGAAACAGGGGAATCTTGAATAGGAGTAGAGAGGTTATTTTACCTCTGTATTTGGTACTGGTGTGACTGCTGCTGGAATCCTGTATCCTGTTCTGGTGCCCACATTTCAAGAAGGATGTTGATAAAATTGAAGAGGGTTCAGAGAAAAGCCATGAGAATGATTAAAACATGCCTTAGAGTGATAGATCAGAGATCTCAATCAATTTAGCTTAACAAAGAGAAGGTTAAGGGGTTACAGTCTATATTCATCTAAATAGGGAACCAGTATTTAATAATGGGCTCTTCAATGTAGCAGAGAAAAATATATCATGATCCAAATGCTCAAAGTTGAAGCTAGACAAATTCAGACTGGAAATAAGGTGTAAATTTTTGACAGTGAGGTAATTAACCATTGGAACAATTTACCAAGAGTGTGGTGGATTCTCCATCACTGGCAATTTTAAAATCAAGCTTGGATGTTTTTTTTTACAAGATCTGCTCTAGAAATTATTTTGGGGAAGTTCTATGGTATGTGCTATGCAGGAGGGCAGACAAGATGATCACAATGGTCCCTTCTGGTCTTGGAATCTATGAAAAGTAGAAGTTAAAGTGCTGAAATTCTTCAGGTTACGCGGGATTTTTAAGCATCCAGTGGATAAAGTGTATTCAGCACTTTCGTTTCAACCCCTAGGCTTGGATTTTTACAGTAGCATCTAGGAACCCCAGTCATGGACCAGGACCCCACTGTGCTAGGTGCTGCACAAACACAGGAAAAAGAGATGGTCCTTGCCCCAAAGAACATGCAGTCTAAGTTATGTGCCTGACTACCATTGAAAGTCAAGAGTGTTGGTTATCTAACTCAGGTAGCCCCCTTTGAAAGCCCCAGCCCTAGTTTACTTTCATTTTGCCACAGTTTGAGCTTCAACAAGTCTTCTAAAGACCTTCCAAAGAACAATGAATAGTGGTATTTAGAGCCAAGTTGTAAGTCTATTTTAAAAAAAGAATTTTCCAGGTGAAATATTGCAGGTTGGTAGCACCAGAAAATGTCTGACTTCTCCATTGGTCTGGTGCCGAACCTGGGGCCCAATCCAAAGGCCTTTGAAGTGAAAAGACTCCCACTGGGTTTCAATGGGCTTTGGATCAAGGCCTTATTCTGTGCTCATCTCTGTAGCCTCTGAGTACATATGTACCTCTCCATATGGGACAGGTATAGTGTGGGCAGCAGAAGTGGTGTGCTCTGACCCCTCATTGTCACATGCTAATGGGCCTCAAGCCTGTCCTGGAGGGACCAGTTTCTATGTATCAGCGAGATCATCAATACATGGGGCCCATTCAGTCATTGGCTCTTTGCCCAGTCGGTCAAGGCACACATTCCTTTCAGTACCAGTAGTGCTGGAGACTTGTGGATGCCTGTGTTCCTGGAACTGGACTGAGATGCAGCTATTCGCTTCACACAGGCCACTGCTAGTGATCCTGAGACAGGATGGGAGGCATTTTTTAGATGCCAGAAGGGGAATGCTTGCCAGTTCATGAACAACTTTCCTCCCTTCCCCTGGCTTGAAGAGACCAGACACTGCAGAGGTTATGAGACTAGTCTCTCTTGGAAAAGGGGGCCATTACAACATCTGAGCCAAAAAGAGATGTTTTGGCAATTGGCAGCAGATTATAAATACTGAGATAAACATTCCTGGATGCCTAACTCCAGGCTGAAATGGATATGGCTATTCTGATGTGTATCATTTCTTGCTATATTAATTTGGCCCTGACAATGTGCACAGCGCTGTACAATACACAAAAACAGACAGTTTGTGTCCCAGAGAGCTTGACGTCTGATAACAGATACTTGCAAGATGGGACTGGGCAAGAGAACAACTTAAACATTAATTAACTGTTCAATGATAAATCCCTTCTTGTGAGCCTCATGGAAGAAATGCTCCTTAAGAGGATCTTGAGTGAAGAGAGGGCAACGGCTTGTCAGACAGCGTTCAGTTCATAGGAGGCAATGTGGAAATGTGATGGACTGCGCAAGCAAGCTAACGTTAATCTCTCCAACCCAGTAGCTAGCTGAGTGCAATGTATATATCTTTATATCTAATCTCAGGGCTCTTGTAGCTAAATCTAAATGATTTCCCAGATCAGCTGCATGAACAGGATATGTGATGTGTCCTCTGATCATGGCTGACCTGCTGTAGCTCACAAACATTACCAACAAACTTAATCAAGTACGGCTAGCGTGACCAGATAGCAAGTGTGAAAAATCGGGACAGGGGATGGGGGGTAATAGGCACCTATATAAGAAAAAGTCCTGAATATCGGGACTGTCCCTATAAAATCGGGACATGTGGTCACCCTAAGTATGGCACTTGAGATAATTGGGCAGGAAACTTCCCCATGAATTCCTGTGGAGTATGATGAGAATAATTGTAACAACTCATGTGTCGTCCAGCCTCAGGAGTCCAGGACGCTCATGTTTCTTTTGGCGAAAAGAACTTTCAGGTTAAAGGGAAAATATCTGGCCAGTGGCAGTTTTCACTTGGTTTTCCAAAGCTGGATATGGTGGTGGCTAGAGAATAAGAAGCAGTTACAACTTACTAGTGTTCTAGCAGGAGCAGAAGAGGAAAGCCCAAAATAGCTGCAAAGGAGGAAGATGCTGGAAAAGCAGCAGCAGTGGGCACAGGGCCTGAAGGGAGCAGAGAGCCCATCTGGAATTCCTATACAAAATATTCTTATGTATCTGGGGGATTTGCCTGATTGTGCGATCAGGGAGTGGCAGTTGGAAATATTTAATCCCAAACTCGACATGCTTAAACTGGAGTATTACACTAATAGAGATCTCTGTGCTCTTGCTGATAAAGGGACAAATCCAACCGCCCCTGGACACCTGTGAGCAGATCCCCCCGCCTCTCTAGGCTACGGTTCCATTGCTCAAAGAAGGGGCTGGATTTCAGGTGAAGTACTTGGCATGCGTAGGGGGCAGGTGATGCTAGGGTGGTGGTTCAGATGGGGAAGATGAGAATCCAGCCACAGTGAAGACTAAGTGATAAATCCTGTGAGGTTTAAAATCTGCCAGGGATCCTGAAAACTTCTCAGAAGTTGAATAGTCATAGTCAATATCTGCAAAACAACCTTCCATAAAATATACAAAGGCCCTGGTCCTCATTGAGGACAAATGAATAAAACAGACGTGGAGTTTCCAGACGTGGCTCTTTGTGAGATCAGACATTCCCAAGAAAGCTAAAAGCAGTGTAGTCTAGTGCACAGGGCACTGGACCGGGGTCTATTGCTAGCTCTAATGCTGACCTGCTGTGTGACTGTGGGCAAGTCATCTCTCTCTGCCTCTGTTTCCCTTTTTGGCTGTCATAGACTGTAAGCTTTTCAGGGCAGGGACTGTCTGCTGTTATGTGTATGTACAATGTCTAGAACAATGGGATCCTAATGTTGATGAGGGTCTCTAGACACTACCCTAATATAAATAATAATAATAATTTTAAAGGGTAAAAAACTACTTATTTTTCAGACTTTTAGTTAACTTTAAACTTGCCCTGTCCATTTGCTCTCAGACCCTACTCAAAATTCTCCTCTCTTCCTGGGACACATCAAACCATTCAGCCAGAAAGGATTTGAGGAATTTAAAGAATAGTAGGAGTTAAAATCAGGTTGCAAATGGAAAGTTAGGTATAACCTTAACAAGCTGAACTACCGCAGCGCCAGAGTAAAATCTGCATCCTGATTTTAAGCTTATGGCTAAATATTAGAAACAACTGGTAAGGTGAACGTCAGGTTCCTCTGGAGCTCAAACGATTTAAAAACCCGACCTGCAAACTGGCCAAAGCTGCCATCTTCATTTCTACCATTCCAAGAAATATAGCATCTCCCTGCAATCCACATTATCTCGCCCAAAAAGAGCACACAGCTCCCAGGAGTGACCTCACGGCATCTAGCATTGCCGAATTGCTGATCCGACAATATCAGCATTTCGGGAAGAAGTCAGCCTGGAGCCAGGCATACCCAAGTTTGATGTAACGATGTACTCTACCAGCTTCCATCAGTTTGAGATGGTGGCTGGGTGGAAAGGGAGGATGCCTGGTTGTCGTTGCTGTAGAATGATTTAGACTTT